AAAGTGAAAGAGTCTGCAAAAATGAAAATAATAATACCTAATTGTTGAATATTTATTGCAATCGTAAATGAGGCTTACGGTTTTATGAAAATAATAACATAACAAACTTTTTGTATATTTTTTTGAGGAAAATCAAAGTTAAAAGAAAGAAAGAGCAAATGAGGGAAGAAGAATTTGACCGTAGATATCAGAAATTGAAAAAAAAATGATAATTGGTTTTATATATAGGAAATAAAATACTTATTGAAAATCATTAAACACATCTTAACGTTAGTTGATTGGAAATAAAAGAAATAAGTACAAAAAAAATAGTTGTTCAAAATTATTAAATACATATTACTATTAATTAATTGGAAACAAGAAAAATAGTTGAGAATTAATAGCATTGTAGGAATCAAGAATTGATAAAAAATTAAGATGTATTAGGCACATAATTAGAGAAGTAAGAGAATATGTCATTTTATTAATTATTTTTTGACGTTTGAAGATTTTTAGTAGGAAATGAGATAATTAGTTCAAAATTAATAAGAATGTGGAAGTGAGAGTAAATAAATATTTATTATACATGAGAGAATAGATAAATATTTTATTATCTTAATTTTTATTTATTTTAATATAATAAATTATATTATTATTATGAAACTAGGATGGTCACAGAAAATATAGATTATGTTGGAGTGGACTTCAATTTGATACCTTCGAAAAAGTTTGTAAGAAAAATTATATTGTATCAATCAACTACATAAATGTATAGTTTTTGCTGGTAGAGGAAACGATAAACTAGCATTAATTGAAGATAGTTATTTGCTTTGGTTCAATCAATAAAAGTTCTCCTAAATATATGGTTTTAAACAGTATTTAACACAAGGAAATATAATCCTGTTAAACACCTATTAATTTTTTCCATTAAAAATATATTGTTCAAACAAAATGAATAATATTTGTGATTTGGAGGTTTTCATTTTTGTTTGATGATATATATCAACTTTCTAGATGTAAGACTTGTACTTAGCTAAATGTTAAGGAAATATAAATGGTTACACATGTGTCAGATATGTCTAATATTAGTGATAGTTTACTCTTTCTTTTGCCGTATACATTTGTTTCAATTTCTTTGGTTTCTGTTGTTGTACTATATAGTATTATTGAATTGCATGAATATATGATTCTTGTTGGTAGAGGAAAAGATAAACTGGTATTAATTGAAGATAATTATTTGTTTCGGTTTCAATTATTGGAAACCTGCATCTTCATATATGATTATAAAATAATACTTATCCAAGGAAGACAATAATTATATCAAAGATTTTAAATGTATAACAAAATATTAAGAAATAAAAGAGTATATAATGTCTATTTTTGACAAATTAAGATAAACAGTTATAGAATATATGGCAATAGTATAACGTAAAAATTTTATCAATATAAAATAGTTACTAATTTCTAATAGTATTTGTCTTTTATATATAAAATAATTGGCTAAAGGTTGTCAAATTTAGTTGATTTATTTATTCAATGATGACTTTATGCTATGTATATTGAGAAATGAGTAAACCTTCTTGACTTTTTTATTTTATTCAATGAATTATATGGATATTTATTGAAATTTAAACATTTATATATAAAAGAAATGTCTAAATACTATGGATTCAAGTTTATGCAGAATAAGAGGATATAAATAGAAAATAATATTAAATTACAATTGATAAATATTTAATGAATTTATCCTCTAAATATTAAAAGTTAGAAATTATTATTTTCAATTATTTTTTATTGAAATAAATAAAAATAAAAGAAACCTTTCAAATGTTAAAAACAATATAGTTTGGACATATAGCGTAAAAAAAATTAATTCAATTGAGAATGATAGGTGTCAACTAATTGACCCAATCAATTAACCTATTTTTATATATATTATAGATATGGGACTTCTTTAAATTTGGGGCCTAAAGCCCTTGCTTGGATGGCTTTACCTAAAGGTCGGTCCTAATCTTGTGCGTGAATATGAAAAGGCTAATTCCCTTAACATTTACAATGGTCCATCCTATTATTTTCTTGAATTCTCTAAGTACTTTCAACAACTTGTCTTCTTGTATGTTAGTAAGAGAAGCAGAAATAATAATTGGAAGAGTAGAAGAGTCTTCAAGTAAAGCATACCTTAAGTGTATTGCCAAAGGTTTAAGTTCCAATGTAGATGGTTCTTCGATGAAAGGCTTAAAAGACTGCACTAAAGAAGTTGAAATATCTAAAGATTCAAATTGATGATTAGACCTAATTCTTGATTGAGCATCTAACAAATTCCAATATTCAAGAAATTCAACATCATCCTTACCAAAATTAGAAACTATGCATGCTTCAAGTGGGTCTATGGGTTATTCTTCTAAAAAAACCTCATTTGTTAGACTATTTACCATATTCACATAAAAGCATTCTTTAGATTCCATGGGCAATTTTAAAGTTCTAAAAATATTGAATATTACCTGTTGATCTTAAACTCTCAAAGTAAACTCACATTTTTTCACATAAATTATTAGAGCTTTAGCTATTGCTAAGAAAGGTCTTCCAAGGATAATTGGAATTTACTTATCTTCCTTTATGTCAAGAATCACAAAATCAACTAGAAAGATAAATTTATCTACCTTAACAAGAACATCTTCAATGATTCCTCTTGAAAAAATATAAGAGCAATCAACAAGTTGTAATGTCACAGAAGTTGACTTGCATTCCCCCAAACTAAGTTTTTCAAAGATCGACAATAGCATCAAATTGATACTTGCACCCAAATCATTTAAAGCTTTAACAAAGAACAAATTACCAATTGTGCAAGGAATTGTAAAACTCCTAGATCCTTGAGTTTGGTGACAATTTATTTTGGAGAATTGCACTACATTCTTCTGTGAGAGGAATAGTCTCAAACTCATCCAACGTCTTTCAAGAACTTGACATAGCTTGACATTTATTCTAAAGTTTCAACAAAAAAGATATTTAAGTGTAATTTCTTGAAGATATTAAAAAATTGCTGAAATTACTTATTAAGCTTTGCCTTTGAAACCTTTGAGAAAGGTTGGTGGAAGATAAATAACTTAAGACTTTACTTGATTTTCAACTTTCCCATCATCTTTCTTTTCATTTTCAACTTCTTTTTTTTTAACAATTACCTCTTCATCATCATGCTTGAGTAATCCGTTTCCACTCCCTCTTTTGATAGTGAAACACCCCTCCAGCTGGAAAAGACTGATGCAACTCCCAAAGGATCAAAGATAAGCAAAGTCCAGCCAGCACTGTTACTCTCAAAACTCAAAAGAATAATGAGAATATAATCCAAAAATAAACAAATCAGAATTTTCTGAACCCTAACATATCAACACTCATGAAAACCTACATTCCACTTCAAAATGCCCCCTAAAGAGAGTCCAGAAGCTACTCCCCTAGGTGGACCTATCCCCAACCTCTTGCACCCTCCCCTAATAACTTCCTGTCCTCCCTCCTTCCACAACATAATGCCACCAAAACCCTTTCCTAAGTAACAGCTAAAATGAAAACCTCCCTCCCCCTTCAGGCTAAGGAAGACCCTCTGCCCACTCAGACCTCACTACGAGATTTCCTTTATTTTTTTCCCTTTATTATTTTTTTCTCTTTGTTCTTTTTTTCTCTTGTTTTTATTTAAGAAAATGAGTGAGAAAATAGGAAATAAATTGCATAACCAGCACCTTTAGCTGCCCAAACCAAGGCACATCACTTGCACAATCAGAAGACACTCTCAACAGTAGATCAAAACTCCTCCACTTCAATTTCACTTTCTAGTGAGCCTCAAAATCCACACTAAGATCCTATTTCACCTCCACAATCCACTTGTACAAAAAGTCTCTTCCATCCATTTTCGCAAACTGTACCCATCCAGAAAACTCCACTGCTCAATGAGTCCTCCCACAGTCAACAACGTCCCTAAGCTGAGCATCCCCTAAACACCATACAAAAGAAGCAAAACATAAATGAATGCTCCACCCCCTCCTTTATACTATTATTGTATAATAAATAAAAAAATGTTTATTTACTTTTAATTTTCAAATATATTTTTAACTTTTAAATTGTTAATATAAAAATATTTTTTATAGTTTAATGAGATTTAGACAAACCTTTTAGCATTTTTGTAATACCTTAAAACTCTAATCACTTTAAATCTAAGATTATCAAGTAATTTGTTACCTATGGACGGTTTTTCCACTTGTTGACATAAACCAATGCTTTATAACCGAAAATTATTAAGATATACAATTATACGATGATAGTTAGACGACTTGAGATGATTTTGTTTTTAAATTAATAAAATGTTTCTTGGTATATTGATTGGTTTAATTTCTCCGGTATGGATTTATAGGTGATAATTTTAAAGCCTGCATATAGTTCGAATAAATCCTAGCACTATATTTTTCTTAGACTATTCACGGCTACATCGAATGAAAATTGGAGGAAAAAGAAACAATGATAACGAAAATAACATAAACAAGTACTTCATTAATTCTCCCCAAACAGAAAAGAAGGTGAGTTTATTTATATGTTATAGCAATTCCATGTCGTTTCAAGACTAGATATGATTTTGCATGGGATTTTGAGGCTGATGGGGCCACATTAAGTCCATTCAACAGCGCCTAGTGCAGAAGCAGCGACGACGGAAGCCTCGACACTTGCCGCCCGAGAAACCTTCATTCCGACACACCATCCCACAGTTGTGATCGCTCAGACATGCTCACTTAAAATCATGGCTCTTTGACTCGCGAAGTCCTGCCTCGCTTGGCACCACCATCTCCTCTACACTCAGATAATACAATGCGAAATAGTCAATTAAAACTGAAAAAGAAACAGATAAATTAATATACAGCCATCAAAGAAAGAGATATATTTACGAGAAGCCAAAGCAATGAGCAGCAGCAAGAACATCCCAAACAACTTCCTCATGATCTCCATGTCAGCGACGAGCTAGCTGCTTTTACAAACCACCCCGGTCGATCCAGATACTGCTTATTGGGTTCTAATCTTCTTCAAGTAGGCATTGATTATATTTATATACACAAGTTCGGTAAGGAAGTGGCTACGGTCTCGCTTGACACGAGGGTTGAGTCGGTGGCATAGTGTTTCTGTTCCCGAGACAAGTTAAGGGCACGTCTTGGGAGAAATGGTATACTTGTCACGGTCAAGCGGCGGTTACTCACACGTCCTTTTAACTCTAGGCATGGAAAATTATGGCAATTATATGTTCTACATGATTGCAAGGCAATGAATTTTTTAGCTTATTTAATCGGGATTTGTGAGTGTTAATATTTTTTCTTGTATAATTATATTCTTGAATTTCAAGTGAATCGAAATTTTTTAAATAAATTTAAGTTAAATTTAATATTTTGTTAAAAGTACATTTGGTTCATAAAATAGAATGAAATATAATATAATAAATATTTTATGAGAATAAGATGAAATAGAAATAGAAATAAAATAAAAATATTATTATGCAATTTGATTGACGGAATAAAATAAGATAAAAATTACTATTATGTTTTATTATAATATTTGGTTAATCAAAATAATTTTAGAATAAAAAAAGGTAATAAAAAGATAAAATTATTTTTTATTATAATATATAATTATTTATTTTAATTTTATTTTATTTTTAAATATTAATAATTTATAATTAATTCAAAATATTAATAAGTAATGTTTAAATATTAATATTTTATTTATAATTTAATCATTAACATTTTAAAATCCTAATATTTTATTTATAATTTAAATATTATTATTAAAATATTAATATAATTTTAATTAATTTTTAAAATTAAATATTTATTTTTTATAATATATAATTAAAAATTTAAACTTTTTATTATAATAAGATTTATTTTAAAAAACAAAACTACCCTTTATATAATTTAGTAAAATGTATACCAAAAGCCAAAAATAAGTAAATTTTTTTCTTTTTTAATCATTTAATTTATATTTTCATTAAAATTTTAAATTTTTAATAATTTATTATTAAAATATTAGTATAATTTTTTATTTTTTTCTATTTGCAATTTTCATTTTTTAATTCATATTTTCATTAAAATTTTAAAATATTAATAATTTAATAAGTTAGACATTAATATTTTAAAATATTAATATTTTTTGTATAATTTAAACATTTTTATGATTCCAATATTAATATTTTAATAAATTTAAAATATTAATTTTTTATAATTTTAAACTTTTTTGTTTTAAATTTCGTTTTTTCTTTTCCTTTCTTCTTCTCAATTGACCAACCACAAAAAATGTAGCTAGCGTCATGAAGAGTGGATCTAGCGTGCCATATGATCGGATCTGGCCACTTAAGTACTAGGTCGACACTTTTCGACTATATTTGATCTTGGAATTGCCATCATCATCATTGCCAGCATCAGCTCTAGTGGTGAGTGGAGGTTAAAGAGAGAAAGCGATATGCAAGAATAGAAAGAGACCAAAAGACAAAGGGAAATGAGAAGAAAAAAAATGTATCTATGTCTAGGGTTGTAATTTTTTACACTTATAAGAGGTTTTTTAGTCTTATCAAATTTAGAGGGTATTCCCTCAACTATGAAATACCAAATACCATAGGGATTAGGATTTGTTAAACCTTGTTTTGGGCGAATTTTGGAGATTAGCTATTATAAGAGAATAGTTGTTCTTTGAGCCATTTACCAACTAAACGAAGGAACAAATAATACATAGAAATAGAGAGGGAATAGCTATTCCCCATGCCAAATATGCTGTAAAGAAAGTGAATTTAAATAAGTGGTTAATCACACTTAGATAAAAAAAACATTAATAATGACTCTGTTTTGCATCGAATGATCAGATTTTCAAACTAGCACATCATGGTAAGTTAAACAAAAGAAAAATTTGGGCCAAAAAAATGAAATAGTATAATGTTATTGAAATCTTTTAGATATCAACTATCTGCCCCATTAAAGCGTTAAAAAAGGAATAACTGACGTCATGTCCATTATCCGCAATGCCATAAAAAGTCTTTAAATCTGATTGACAAAATACTTTAATGGCATAGAAAACTTGCAATGAGCAAAATCACTGTACAATTACAAAAGTTTCACTGCACAATAAGCCATTGGCCGCAAGGATCCTGATTATGCCAATACAAGAGCTATGAATCATTCTAAAAACATCTCGGAAAGAGAACCTATAAACAGTAGATCCATTAAACATGAACCTACTTTAGAGTCAAGCTCAATAAAATCCACCGATTGGTTAAAGTGCAAAACAGAAAAAACCAAATGACCAAGAGCCGTATCCAGAAATTAACTCCCACCGTACAAAAGACCATCAGAAAATAGATATTCCAAGCATCCGGATTCCATGAACTTCAAAGATCAAGCAGCACACATTAAAACATTTTTGGTCTAGCTTTAATCAGCAATAGAAAACATTTTTCTTCAAACTGCAATAAGATAAGAGCACAAGATCTGGAAGTTTTCTGGTATCAAGGCATAATTATACATAAATCAAGCTTTATACTGTGTAATGCTACTTCCTAATCCAAAAAAGGCCAAGAAAAAAGAGCAGGTTCTAAGCACACGCACACAATCATATATATTACACTAGGACCTAGTAAGTCCAGGAAACCTTTTTCCAAACAGACCTCAAGGATTCTTGCCAATTAGAGCCATTCCAATTATTACTGACTTGCCACTTTCTGAAGACCACCATGAACCACTCATGTTTCCTTGCTGTGAAGTTGTATCCAAGAGACATTCCAATTACTAGCCCAGCTCCATATCCTGTCATAACTATTTTCCAATCAAACTTGAACACACTCTCGATTCCTTCATCATCTTCTTTGCGGGCCAACGGAGGTGGTGGCTGCAAGACCTCATGATTTCCACATTTTTCTGACAAAGGGTATCCACACAATCTTGAATTCCCCTCGTACGAATCATTGTTGAACGTATTGAATTGTGCTCCTCGAGGAATATTCCCTTCAAGATTATTATAAGAGACATTGAAGCTTGCAAGGAAGTTAAGGTTGGCTAATTGCTGAGGGATTTTTCCAGAGAGCTTATTTCGAGAGAGGTCCAAAGACTCAAGGTTCGAAATTTCCCCCAATGCTGATGGAATATGACCAGTGAGATTGTTATTTGAAAGGTTAAGCATATGAATTTGCTTCAAATTACTAATGGCTTCAGGGATTTCACCTTGGAACTGGTTGCTGGATAAATCAATAGCTGAGATGGAATCTGGAACATTCTCATAATTAAGTTCCCTGCCTTTGTTAGCCAATATAAGTACGTAATTATAATAATCAGACCACGATAATTCTCCATCTGCGAAGCTTGTATTGGCGTTCATATATGGGGATAAGCTGTTTGTATTGGCAACTTCCATGGCAACCCAAATATTGAAGTACTCAGATGGCAACTTACCCCTGAAACTATTGTCTGAGAGGTCAATTACTTGCAACTTGGAGAATTCCGATTTGGCTCGAGGTTTCCCTATCACACCATGCAATCCATTTGCTCTCAAGCTGAGAACCTTGAGTTTTGGAAGAGTGCCCAACCAAGAAGGAAAGGTATCATTTATCCAATTGTTTCCAAGGATTAAAACTTCTAACTTGGTACAATGGGCTAGTGATCTTGGTATTCTCCCTTGCAATTTATTTTGGCTCAAATCCATCATCCTCAACCCACAGCTCTTCATATATGTTGAAGGAATAGCACCAGTAAATTGATTATTTCCAAGGCTGACTACTTTTAGAGAGTCACTTAGGCTGAATAAACATCGCGGGAGCATCCCAGTCAAGTTGTTATTAGACAAATCCAAGGCCACGAGGAAAGAAAGATTGCAGAGCATTGGTGAGATTTCTCCTGACAGTGAGTTATTTGAAAATGAATAAGAGATGATGGAAGGTGGTGGATGCGGAAGTGATCCCTGGATCATGTTCGATTCAAGGTTGAAAACCTGTAAGTGAGTCCATGGAAGAACAACGGGAAGCTCCTCAAATCCTGTCAGAAAATTAAAGACCAAATTTAACTGCTGAAGAGTTTCCTTTCCCACGCTCCAAAACCATTTCGGTATTTGGCCATGAAGTCTGTTGTCAGAAAGCTCCAAAAACTCCAATTCATCTTGACTACGCAGAAAATGTGGGAACTCAGATAAGTTGCATGAAGCCAATCCTAAAAGCTTGAACTTTGGACTAGTGGCATTGATGCTGACAGTGTTGAGCAGTGACAAGTTGTTACCTGAAAGTTGGAGTCTGGTGAGATTTTTAAGCTCAAGAAATGAGTCCAACTTGAGAATTCCATTTAGTTGATTAGCATGTAGATAAAGAAGTTCAAGATTCTCAAGCTTGAAGATTGATTCTGGAATAGGACCACTCAAAATATTTTCCTGGAATTGGATCTCAGTGAGCTTGGTAAGGTTTCCTATCCAAGGTGGGATGTTCCCAGATAAACTGGTGTTCGACAGGTCCAAGTATATTAGATTGGTTTGTGTACCGAGCCAAGAGAATGTTCCAGGGTCTAAATGGTTAGTGGTAAGAGACAGATAAACAAGTTGCGTAAGATTGGCTAAGGAAGAAGGGATTTCCCCAGAAAATTTGTTATAAGAGAAATCCAAAACCCTGAGCTGTTTTAGATTCCCAACTGAAGGAGGAACAGGTCTCCAAAAGCTGTTAAAAGAGAGATCAAGATACTTGAGTTTAGTAAGGTTACCAAGTGAACACGGTAACTTCCCTGAAAAATGGCAGTTGCTAATGTCCAAAAATTCCAAGGACTTGAAGTTTCCAAATGATTCTGGCAGCTGCCCAAAGAAACTTGTGTTTGCAAGGCTTAATTCCAAAAGAGGGTGATTACTCTGAATATCAGGTAAACATCCAGTAAGGTCCGGATTGGACCGCAGGTTGAGAAACTGAAGGGCGGGTAACTCAAATATTCCTGTGGGAAACTCACCACGCAAGTCACAATTTGATAAAATTAAAGCTTTCAATGAAGAAAACTTTGCTGAGATATTAGGCACCGAAGAAGAAATACTGACAGAAGAAAGATAAAGTTCTTGAAGATTAGTTAACTTCTCAAGCAGAGAGCTCAAGCCTGTCTTCCGAAGCTTCAATGAGTTCCCTGACAGATCAAGGAGCTGTAACTCTAACAGCTCTAAGATCTCTGACGGTATTTGACCAGAGAACTCGGAGTAAGAGAGGTCCAAAGATATCAGTCTTGAGAGATTCCTGATCTCAGAAGGGATTTTAGAATTTTTGAAGAAATTGTCTGCGAGATTAAGCCGTCGAAGGTGAACAAGATGGTAGAGGGTGTTGCTAGAATCCATTGAACCATAGAGATAACTACTTCCAAGGTCGAGGCCGATTACATGACCAGTCCCGTAGTCACACTCCACCCCATCCCACGAGCAGCAGTCACCACTTTCCCTTTCAAATTTCCACGATTCGGTTTTCGCATGGGCATCAGGACTAGTTGAAGCAGATTTATTGATGACAAAGCTTTCCTTGAACTGCAACAACGCTGAGCGTTCATCAGGGTGGCACAGTGGCCGTACTGAAGAAACAAGGAAAAACAGTAAGAGTAAATTAACCAAGCTGATTGAAATGGAGAGATACAAAGGTGATCCCATAATGATATCTCAATCCTTTATGCCCTCAACTGATCGGCACTGACTGAACCATTTATTGACAATTGATAACAGATAAACACAGCGTGTTTCCAGCACACCAGAACAGTAGAAATGGAACTTTTCAAGTCTTTTGTCATCAACATTGAAGACGTAAACGGTGAGGTCTATTCTGGCCTCTATTCATTTCGGCTATCTGTTTCCCCTGCATCAACCTTATCAAAGATTCCTCGAGGTAAGCTCTAGGAACCTGCGCGGTTCCTGAAACTGGTTGCCCAATGGGCAATGAGTCTCAAGTTGAAACTTTGTCATTTTAGAAAAAATCTTCAGCTTTTAATATAACAAAATATTGATGAATGTTATAACTTGCCCAATGGGCTAGTAACTTGAATGACTTGAAATTTCTTAACATGTGAGGAAAGTTTATTTATCTACTTAAAAGAAAAAATAATAGTATCATTGATGAATTCAAAATTTTATATAAAATGTAGTTAAATATAATCATATTATATATATTAAATTTTAAACGTAAAATAATTAAAAATTGAACCTTAACTCCACCGGTGCAATGGTAATCTTTTATAAACCTCTAAGAAATATTAAAACTTTATTTATGAAATAAGATAAATTGCAAAAAACAAAATCATGTTACATATTCTAAAGGCAAAAAAAGGACAGGGAAATACCATCCAATAGTCTAAAATCTTGGATATAAATTTTAAGTTGATTATTGTATAAGATAATTCATATAAAGGACACTTTGGTTTGTGTGGTTGGCCATTGTCCAATAAATGTGGCAGTTATATAACTGAATAAAATTCATAAATATATATATTTACTTTAAAAAAAATACATTCAAAAGGTGTCTAAACGATTTGAAATGTAAAGTCTGTGACTACTCTATTAAGGTTACACCTAAAACTTTCATCTGGTTTATCACCACAAACGGACGACGAGGAGGAGGAAAGACCTAAATTGTCTTTTGTAATATGTGCATTAGTTTAAGCTTCAAGAGGTTGAAGATATTTTTCTTGAAGGCGAAAAAGAAGTGGATATATATATATAGAGAGAGGAAGTTTTTGCAGAACTAGACAGTGTCTGCCATGTTTGAGACCTAGAATTCAAAAGAGCATCACCAAAAAGTAAGCTCCATGACCTAATTCATGGGTCTAGTTTGGTGATATACAAACTCAAAGCAACCTGGCAAAGAAAGTGGCTGGATCAGTACTACTGCTGCCTTCACCCTTGAGGATGGTTGGATTGCTTTGGCTTTGGGTTAGAAAAGCCATTCAATGTAATATTGGGCTTCACAAGTCATTTGGAATAATTTTTGGGATTTGGGTCACCAATTCCATTTGCGTTTATTTTTTGGATTTCGGAAGATGGGATACATTGAAATGTAATTTTTTAAGTAAAGCTCATGAAATTATACTTAAAAAATTATTAAAATAAAAATTTTAGTCAATTTTTAATTTTGATTGAAGTCTAAGCTTTTATTCGGTTAGTTTCAATAGTAAAACTTCACTATCTTGGCCTAAGGAACTCCACCTATGCATGATTTCAAAGTCCCATTACTAGCTAGTTAATTCTTCATGATAGTGTATTTTGAGATATGATTAGGCAAATGAGGGAATGAATTATACAATTTACAACCGACTGACCCTAAATGAGATTGGGCCATGTTAAACTAGTGCAAGAAATTGATAATCAACAAGTGTCTTCTGTCTATCAAACTGAAGCTTCTTGAATTGCTGGCAAGCATGAAAGGATCAATTACCCTAAGGGATCGATCCACTCGAAAATTAAGTACAGGAAAGCATGAAGGGATCGATCCCTTAGGTCGTTTCAAGTTGTATAACGATTGGAATTTTACAGGAAACAATGGTTCTTTCTCTCATTTAAGGCATTTTTTTCCTCTTGCAAGAAGTTCTCAAATACAGTCTGCTACTCTTCTTTCTTATGAACCAAGAAAATCGATTATTGCTAACATTGGTTGCATCACAGATACCTTGGAGGACTTAAGTGTAAGATTAATTCTATACATCATTTATTAGATCTGACAATTTATATTTTCGTGTCTTAATTTTGTCAAATACGATTAGATATGGAACACGATACAAATAATTATTCGTATTAACATCTAAAACATGTACACGAGTATATTTAATAACAATGTAACACTATATGATTAACATATTTATTAAACGTATTAATATACACATGACATGATTAATAACACGATTAAATAAAATTATTTATAATTAAATATAATTTTAATATTTATATTTAAAATCAATAATTATAAAAACAATTATAACAAAACAAAATATTAATAATATCAAGTATAATAAAATTTAACATAAATAACATACAT